CAGGCAGGCAGGCAGGTAGGCAGGAAGGCAGGCAGACAGACAGAACTTTTGGATGGATGGACAGACAGACAGACAGAACGTGACAGCGGCAGCACTTTGGGAAAGTAAAGCAAAGCTGCCTGCCCTGGGCTACCTCAACCCTGCCCTGCTCCAGGAAGGAGGGAACAGCACCACCCTCTACGACGTGAGTGCCCCGAGAGGGGGGTCATCTTGGGAGGTTCATCGCTGGCAGGAGGGGCACCCTGTGAACTTGCTGTCAGGCACGGCAACTACAAAGAGGGGCGGGCTTAGCTGAGCAGGATCCTGGATATTGGGCATGTGGTCAAAGCCCCGCTTCCTCTGCCTCCCCCTTGGTGAGGGGTCTGCAACCTTAAACGCTCAAAGAGCCATTTGGACCTGTTTCCCACAGAAAACAAAACACCGGGAGCCCCACGACATGGGTGGCCGTGGCAACTCAATGTCACTCCCACTGAGTCACACAACCCCTCCAGGTTTTGTGGTTTTGTGTGTTTTCTATGGGGAACAGGTTGCTCTCTCTCTCTCTCTCCTCCATCCCTCTCCCATCTCTATCTTTCTCCCTCTATCTCCCTCCTTTCCTTCTTCTCATTTTCTTTCTTTCTTTCTTTCTTTCTTTCTTTCTTTCTTTCTTTCTTTCTTTCTTTCTTTCTTTCTCTCTCCCTCTCCCTCTCCTTCTCTCCCTCTCCTCTAACTTTCTCTCTTTCTCTCTCTCTATGCCTCTTCCTCCCTCCTTCTCCCCCACTCCCCACCCCACTCTTCCCAACTCCCACACCCAGGGAATAACTGTAAGGACATTTGGCCACGTTCTTTCTGTCTCTGGAAACCTTGCATTCCAAAAAGGAGTGACAGTCAGGCTGTTTACCTCACAGTGCTACGAAGTTGCTGCCTTAGATCGCTGCTGAATCCTTGCAAAACTGGGCAAAGACACAGAGAGTGAAGCAGACAGAGCTGAATTGAGACGAATCTCTCTCTCCCTCCCTTTGTATCTCTCCCTCTCTCTCAGAAAGCCCCGCGTGCTCCCCTTGGGGCTCTTCGCTGTCCCCTTTTCTTTCTTCCTTTTGGAAATCTGGGCTGGCTGAAGAACGAGAGGAGGGGGAGGAGGGAAGCCTCCACCGCGGCTTTCGCTCGTTCCTCAGCTAGGCCGGATTTCCAAAAGGAAGGAAGAAAAAAGGATAGCGAAGAGTAGAGCATGCAGGGCTTTCCGAGAGTGTGAGAAGCTTCTTTTCTTTCTTCGTGGAGTTTTTGGAAATCCAGGTTGGCTGAGGAATGAGCGAAAGCCGAGGCGGAGGCTTCCTTCCTCCCTCCCTCTCCCCTCCTTCTCCTCTCGTGCACACCCTCCAGGCCCCACCACAGCCGGCTCCATGGCTGTTCCCTGCTCTTGCAGCACCCTTGCAGCACACTCAAATTCACTGCACTTCACTCCATCCCCTCCTCCTCCTCTTCCTGGAGCCCATTACAATGCGGTGCATCAGAGCTGCCGCATCCGAGGCGCATTCGGCTCCTGAGCGTTGCAACAGTCAATGGGGTGACCCTGCAGAGCTTCAAACGCCCCCCCTTGCCTCTTAGCGCCCCCCTAAGGCATCCCCCCCCCCAGGGGGGCGGTACCGCCCACTTTGGGAACCACTGGTCTATATGATTGGAGATCACCTTTGGGTTTGTGTTGCTTAAATTTAGGGTAGATAGGCTTCATGTGTTCTCTTGGATTTTTAATAGCATTTCATTTGCATGTCAATGAGTTCAGATTTCCTGTGCACTTCTGTATGACTCAATTAGTTGCAGGTTGTAGATAATTAGGGTTCAACTGCTAAGAGTAGCATGATAGGGTGACCTTTATTAATCCTTTAGGTAAACAACAAAGATCAATGGCTACAAATTGACCTGCAACATCTTACAAAAATAACAAGCATAATAACTCAAGGAGCCACATCTATGTCTACAGCAATGTATGTGAAAACATTCTCCATCCATTATACTGATGACAATTCAACATGGAAGCCTTATTTGGATGTTTGCACTTCCATGGAAAAGGTACCAATTACTTATCTTACTGATGGATTTAGTTACCTAAATTATGTCTTCCAACTTTATTATTTATTACTATATGTATGGCATTATATTGGGGACATATTAGGCCAAAAAAAATCTTCATGACCCCTTTTATAGGTTTTAATCTATGCTTTGGGAATTAGTCACTCTGAACTATCTCATTTGGTTTTGTTACAGCTCTACAGTTTGCCATAGTACAATTTGTAATTAGGTGGGCATCAGAGGTCCCTTTATTAATTCAGAGAAAGCAAAGGGTACAGTGGGAACAGTGGTTGATAATAGTGGGATGTGTTAGCGGATCGATTTGCAGACTAGTTTCCTGGAAAGATCACTGCTCAAAAACCCTTACCATCATGGAATCTTATCACAGATTAATTATAATTCATGTCTCCTGTGGGACATAGCCCTAATATTCTTACCATAAAAACTACAAACCAATACTGGAGTGCTTCATAAATATTGTCAGAATCAATTTGGTTTAGCTTGCATTCCAAGCATGGCTAAATTCTATCATGAAGTATTTTTTAAACTCAAACTGTTTTACCAACAAAGGAGAAAATGATGGCAATGTGCATCAACCCAGAAATCTAATGAAGCCAAAAAGGCCTGCAAAGACTGTAATCACCAAAGCCATGTCCCATATTTTTCCCTATGGCTGAATTTTTCCATGAATTCCAGTATATGACATTTCTCCAATTAAAAGCACTTGGAGTGTGCCATCAGTCAGGACAATACATGCTTCACAATTTGAATGAATTTGACAAAGCTCATTGGTAGTCAATAATATTTATTTCAACTAATGGAACAATAGTTGAAATCATAAGGCAACTTGATAGGTTTATTTATTGATCTAAATTTTGCAGGCCTACAAATTACATGTTACTGAGGTGATCTGAGACAGAAAATAATTTTCCTGGTGATATTCTGTGGGAATTTTGAGGATTTATGTTTGAAATGTTCATTCATTTGCAAATAATGCTAATTTATTATTTTGTTTTATGTTTAGGTTTTCACAGGAAATATTAACACTGATGGTCATGTCAAACATTTTTTCAAACCTCCTATATTGTCCAGGTTCATTCGTATCATCCCTAAAACATGGAATCAATATATTGCACTCCGGATAGAACTGTTTGGTTGTGAAGTTTTTTAAGGCTTGGACAGAAGACTATCAAATCAAGCAACTTCAATGTTTCAAGTTTTCTTATTACTAACTCTGCTTTTTAAAAGGAAACAAAAACAAAAGCATAATAAAACTGTATTAGCATCAAAAAAGCTATCCTTCTCAAACAATTTTCAGCTATAGCTTTCAAATAGCTTTGAAAATATCAATCAAAATATCATAACTGAAGTGACTTTACAATGATTAATTCTAGTGCCACTTTAATCATGAATGTACATTCTAATACAATAAAATCTTATTTTTTTGCCAGTTCCATGTTCCTTGTGTTTTTCTCTTCTCAAATAGATATCATTTCATTTCAATTTTTTTGTTGCGCTCTCTTCTGAGGGCCTATAATGAGAATATTTACATTAATTAAATTTCAGCAGATACTGATAGGTCTGTGATGGTGAACCTATGCCACGTGTGCCGGAAGTGGCATGCAGAGCCATCTCTCTGAGCATGCCAGTTGTTGCCCATTGCTCTTCCAGGTTCTGGTGCGTGCATGAACGCTGGCCAGCTGGTTTTTGCATGCATGCGAGCGCCAGAAAGCAGAATAGCAGCTCCCTGGTGGCATGCGTGCTGGGGAGCTGCTTTTCTGGTTTCCGGCACTCCCACATGCACGTGCCGGGGAGCTGCTCTTCCAGTTTCTGGTGCTCCCTGGTGCGTGCGCTCCCATTTTGTCACTCAATGCGGAAAAGGTTCACTAAAGGTTCACTGCTCTAGGTCAACTCGGCTGATCTAGAAAGTTAAAGTTGGTCCTGGTTGGTACATAGATGATTATCTGAAACATCTATGCTAATAAGATGGATTGGGAAATTGAAAAAGGCAATAGCATTTAATGGTTCACTTAAAGTTGCTAGGAAAGGCAACTTTTAATGTAGGCAGATAACAGTAACTGTTAAATAAGAGGCATAAATGCTGATATTAATAGTGCCTTTCAACAGTTTCTATGAATAATCTTAGGTCTGAAGAATGAATCAGTGACTAATATAATGAATTTATAATCATTCATTTCAATTAACTTTCTAACATCTACCAAAAATGAATCAATTCCAATGAATCAATGATAAGCATATCCAAACCCAATGTACACAATATATACCCAATAATTCCTCAAATAAACACACCCCTGGTTATTTTTGCAAATTTCCATATTTTAACATTTCTCCAGTTTTACAATCTCACAATATTTACCACCTTTTCATCATTTTTTCTTGAAAACTAAATGTTATAGCATAAACTTAAATTCCAAACTTTCACATTATCACCTCTATTACAACAGAGATATATTTAGTACTCCTTTCAGCATTCCTTTAGTTTCTTTCCAAATAATTTCATTATCTTTATTGTTATTTCCATTCACCTTCTAATATTTTAGCCTTTCATTCATGGACACTTGGAAGCTTCTGCTGCTTTCATGAAAGTAGCAGTTAGAGCCAGGTTAGCATAATGGTTAAAGTGCTGGCTTAGAAACCAGGAGACTGAGTTCCAGTCCCACCTGAGGCATGAAAGCTAACTGGATATTTTTGGGCCTGTCATTCTCTCTCAACCCAACCTACCTCCATGACCTTGTTGTCATGGAGAAAATAGGAGAATTGGGTATGTTTGCCTCCTTGAGTTACTTATAAAGTAATAAATGTAAGATAAAAATCTAATAAAGTGATGTTATAGTTAACGTAAAAGGGAGTGAGGCATGTGCTGTGATGACACAGTATTTCATCACTGACCCATCTGACCATACCTGTTAGGCTGCTGCTTTGTTTATAGTTAAACCTACACCTTAACTTCCATATATATGTTTATCAACTATATCCTGAAATCAGACCATTTCCATTCAGATCTATTACAATTTCTCCTTTTCCTTTAGTTTCACAGACACAAACCATATCTATCATCTATCTATCTATCTATCTATCTATCTATCTATCTATCTATCTATCTATCCATCCATCCATCCATCCATCCATCCATCCATCCATCCATCCCTTGTCTGTAAAATGTACTTCTCTTATATTCCAAATTAAAGTCCTCCATACATTATAATCATCAACAGAATGGCCCACAAATACTGATTTCAGCTACCCATATTTTTGTCAATCAAGATTTTACCAAGTATGTTTGGAGGCAGAAGTAGATTAAGATAGCAAGCTCCCTTATAATGTTGCATGCAGCCTTCCCTGCTAGTGATAAGGACAGCATTGGTCAGTTTTGGTAATACTTGATTGTTCTACCATAAGAACCCTAAGCACACTTATATTATTCTATGCAAGCTAGGAGGCAAGACAATATGCTTCTTTAATGGCTATCCCATTAACTAGGAAGTACATGCATGTATAGTAACATTCAAGATACTCTGCGCCAACTCAGAAAACTCAAACTGCCCAAGGAGCTGCTGATCCAGTCCTACAGAGGAATCATTGAGTCTGTCATCTGCACCTCTATAACTCTCTGGTTTGGTTCTGCAACCCAACAGGACCGACACAGACTTCAGAGGATAATTAGGACTCCAGATAAAACAATTACTACCAACCTGCCTTCAATCGAGGACCTGTATACTGCACGAGTCAAAAAGAGGGCTGTGAAAATATTTACAGACCCCTCACATCCTGGACATAAACTGTTTCAACTCCTTCCCTCAAAATGACGCTATAGAGCATTGCACACCAGAACAAATAGGCACAAGGAGTTTTTTCCTGAACGTCATCACTCTGCTAAACAAATAATTCCCTCAACACTGTTCAACTATTTACAAAGTGTACACTACTATTACTGTTAATCTCTCATCGCTCCTTATCACCCATCCCCTCCCTCTTGTGACTGTATGAGTGTAACTTTGTCGCTTGTATCCTTACGATTTATATTGATCGTTTCCTAGTATGATTTGCTTATTGTACCCTATGACTATCATTGTGTTGTACGTTATGATTCTCGACTCCTGACGAATGTATCTTTTCTTTTATGTATATTGAGAGTATTTACACCAAGACAAATTCCTTGTGTGTCCAATCACACTTGGCCAATAAAGAATTCTATTCTATTCTATTCTGAAATCCGTAATAAAATTTTATCTCCTCTGCAGCAGGCCTTTTGATTTATCCTATCTCTTCTCATCCCCACCAGTTATCCTAGGATTAGGATGGTCATTATTATTGCTTCTTTTATATGCTTATTAAAATTCACGCAAGATCGCTTGGTACTTATCGGTCAGGCACAAACAATCCAAGTGACTCCGAGATTCAGGTCCCGAAGTTCCTTTACTATCGACTCCACTGCACACAAGACTCTTACCAGGCTGTCTGCTTTTCCCTAGGAAAGCCAGATAAAGACTTAAGCGTTTGATCTCACACATTTCCTACCACCCGTGGAGTCCAGACTGGCATACTTCAACTGCACCCACCGTGACTTTCTTCCTTTCAGCCGTTGATCCCATCTATCTGCCCATCACCAGACTTAGACATGTGAGAACAGGAGAAGAAAGCATGGCAAAGAACTCAAGACTGCGGAAAGCTGAAAGTAATAATCGCAATAAATCGCTCCTAAAAAAGCGGTTGAGCACGTTTTTAGATTCTGGTTTGCTTGTCCAACTGGTAATACCCCCCTACACGTGAGATATTTCCTAGCCTGGAAACAGTCATCTCTACTAGTTCCACTGATGTCGCAGCCCTGAATGCAATCCTCCCGAAGCAAAAAAAAAACAAACCCGCACCGGTTAAAAAGGCACGAACAGAGAAGAGACGCCCTATCAAAATAAAGCCAACGGCGGTGTGGCCTGAATTAAGCAATCCAATTGGCTGCTCTGCAATCAACCAGTAACCCCCCCTCCACCCCGCTGATTTGGACTTCCTTCTGTCTCTTCCACCCAATCGCAGGTGCCAACGAAAGCAAGGAGGCGGGACTGTTTACTGCGCAGGGCCTTGGTCACGTGGGTTGCCGGTAGGGTTTCTGGTAGTCTGGCGGCAAGGTGACTGCCGACCGGAAGCTGCCGCTGAAAGCGGGAGTTTGAGTGGCCCCGTTGCGGGGCTCAGATGGAAACGCCGGGTGTCTTGGACGGACTCCGGTCCCGGTTGTTTACTGGCCGCGCGAGGCGGCCCCCGCGGCGTTTTGGTTGGCTATTGCCGACGACTGTGCTGTGTGGCTACGGTTTCTTTGCCAACTTGCGACCGTCGGAACCTTTTCTCACACCTTACTTGTTGGGACCAGACAAGAACCTCACCGAGACCCAGGTGAGATCTTTTCTCTAATTGACCCAAAAGTGATGTTTTTCCCCCCCCCAAAAGGCAACTGGACTTTGTTTTTCCTGAGGACGTTTCACTTCTCATCCAAGACGCTTCTTCCACTCTGACTGAATGGTGGAGGATGGAAAAGTGGAGGGCACAGATGAACTTTCAAGGGGGCCTCAACGACTTTAGGAAAGAATGCTTACCAGCAGATGACTGCAAGGAATATAAATCAAAGTCAAAAGAAACATTTCTGGTTTCAATTATGTATTAATGTTTAATTTTTTTTTAATTAAACACACACACATGTGCGTGTGTGTATATATACATACATATGTACATACATATACATATACACACACACGCACACACACACACACACATCAAACTTGATAAAAGGTCTTGTTCACATTTCCAACATAAATTTGAAATTCCTTCATACAGATGATATTCTGGTCACAAATACCAATGATACATCATTTCATACAAGTTTCAGCCCTTTCATCCACTTATTCTCCCATTGTACAATTTGTATATTATAACCAAAATTTCCACTCTGTTTTGTCATCCATTGTTTCACGTCTTTTCATTTCAAATTTTAATAAAAGTTTATATGTTAGCAATTATATGTTCATTTCTATGCAATTCTGTTTTAAATGTATTTCTACAATATTCAATATATATATATATAGAGAGAGAGGGAGGGAGGGGGAGAGAGAGAGAGAGAGATTTCCATTTTATAAAGATAATATCCTTTTTTTTTTGTAGGTCTTCAATGAAATTTATCCAGTATGGACATACTCTTATTTAGTGCTGCTGTTCCCAGTCTTCTTGGCCACAGATTATCTCAGATACAAGCCTGTCATCCTTCTGCAAGGACTAAGCCTTATATTAACATGGTTTATGCTTCTCTACTCCCAAGGAATTCTAGCTGTTCAGTTCCTGGAATTCTTTTATGGATTAGTGACTGCAACAGAAATTGCTTACTACTCTTACATTTATAGTGTTGTGGACTTGAACTTGTACCAGAAAGTCACAAGCTACTGTCGAAGTGCTGCCCTTGTGGGCTATACTGTGGGCTCTGTCTGTGGACAAGTCCTAGTGTCTGTTGCAGGCTGGTCCCTGTTCAGTTTGAATGTGGTGTCACTTACTTCTGTATCTGTTGCCTTTGCAATAGCTTGGTTTCTGCCCATGCCACAGAAAAGCTTTTTTTTTCACCATCACCCAAGCTTCCAGGTCAGTAAGGAGATGAAAGTTTTAAATTATAAAAATGGAACAATTATCCAACGTGATCCTGCCTTAAAAAAGGTTCCTGGGTTGGAAGATGTGGAATTGAAGATTCCATTAAATATAGAAGAGTGTCCTGCAGAGGAGCGAGTAAGTACTACTTCTTTTGCATTGAGGGGTATGTGGAAAATACAGTCTGCCATTGAGCACTTGTTTTCCATTGGATTAACTTGCGCTGATCAATAGTATGTTCCCCTTTGATGCATCTGTTTGATCATTTAAAATTCTGGTGATGAGATTTTAATCATATTTGTGTTGGTGAGATCCTATTACTTGCCAAAACAAGGAGATCTCAGAATATAGGCAAACAAAATATGCCAATATGCACAAAATCTAGTTCTTTGGGGAAAACACATTTTTGGGGGTTGGAGGGGAAGGCAATCCATTTACTTCGTAAGGCAGATTCCTAGCTACCATGTTTCTCACAAAATAAGGCCAGGCCTTATTTTTTTTTGAGCCCTGAAAAAACGGCTAGGCCGTCTTTTCGGAGGTGACTTAATTTCCTCCCCCACCTAGAGCGGCCCATACGCACATACCTCTCCACGAGGCTGTTTCTATCAGCCGACGAAAGCTCCCCGAAGGCAGAGTCCCCAGCCGCTTCGGGGCGAGGCGTGGCTGCCCGTGTCCCCTTACCATTAGGCAGTGTCTTTTGGGCGATGGAAGCTCCCCAAGGGCAGTCACCAGCCACTTCGATCGGCCAATAGAAACTGCCTCGCAGCGAGGGGAGTGTGCGTGTGCGCTCGCCCCGAGGTCGCTTCTACCAGCCGATCCAATTGGCTGGTGACTGCCCTTGGGGAGCTTCCATCGCCTGAAAGACACTGCCTAATGGCGAGGGGACACGGGCAGCCACGCCTCGCCCCGAAGCGGCTGGGGACTCTGCCTTCAAGGGAGCTTTCGTTGGCCGATAGAAGCGGCCTCGCGGCGAGGGGAGTGTGTGTGTGCGCTCGCCCCGAGGCCGCTTCTACTGGCCGATCGAAGTGGCTGGTGACTGCCCTTGGGGAGCTTCCATCGCCCAAAAGACACTGCCTAATGGCGAGGGGACACGGGCAGCCATGCCTCGCCCCAAAGCGGCTGGGGACTCTGCCTTCGGGGAGCTTCTATCGGCTGATGTTCTATCGGTAGATCGGGGTATTCTAGCCTAGGCTACCTGCAGGGCACTCCTAAAGGCAAATTTTCTCCCCACCCCCCCGCCCTTCCCCCCCATTTCTCTTCACCTTGTGTAGTTCTAACGAATGATGTGAGAAATGGCGGGGAAACGCATGGATTAAGTAGGCCTAAATTTTGGGGGTGGGGCTTAATTTCACCTCATGCCTAGAAATCATGCTGGGCCTTCCTATTGGTGGAGGCCGTATTGTTGGAGGAACACTTTATATAACAGATTCTTCCAAGAAGAGTTTAGGAGAGCTATGGCTAGTCTTATCCCAGTGCAATCTAGATATCATTTAATGAAAATTTGAACATAACATTCAGATTAGAAAATCAACATAACATTAAGGATTAATTGGGGTAGATTAAAGGGTCATCTTGCCAGTTACATATGCTTAGCTGGCATCTGTTAGAACAGAGGTAGAAAGGTTTTTCACTTCCTCCCTCCCCCCCCCCTTCTACTTGCACTCCAGTATGACAGATTTCTTAGATTTCTTAATCACACAATGCTTCAGCATTTTTGCTATGAAAATGAAATAATTGGTGTACGAAGGGAGGCTCAGCCAATATCATTGTACACATGTTGTACTCTTGACAATAAAGGTAATAATAATAATAATAATAATAAAGATTAGGCTACAAAGTAGGAGACTGTGAGTTCAAGTCTCACCTTAGCCATGAAAGCCGTCTGGGTGACTTTGAGCCCTTGTTCTCTCTCGGCCCAAACCACCTCATGGGGTTGTTGCGATGGAGAAAAGAGAAGGAGGAAGGTGTCTTGGATAAGTTTACCACCTTGAGTTATTTGTAAAAAATAATAAAGTTTCAAGGTACGAACAAGCAAAATAAATAAAATGATCACTGGAAAATAATATATATGTTTTCATATTGCCAAATGCATAAGTTTCTAGTGGTAAGAAGTATAACAAAATATGTTATATCCAATGCTAATTAGTTTGTGGTCTCTTTGCTTTGCGTTTATTTGGCTTGTATATCTAAGCCCATTTTAAGTATAATTGAGACAAGACCAGTTTTTCTTGCTTAGTGTTTCTATTTGATGTACCTTATATGTGAACAATAAATGTGCCTGTTTGTCCCATTAACAGGAAGTGTAGGGTTGCTGTTTTAATGTAGAATGCTAGAAATATTGTTAATGTTTTGATAATATTCTGAAACCAAATATGAAAGCATGTTACTTAAATGTAATATTTGGTCATTTATGGTCTACTGCCTGCTAATTACCTTTGGTAACTCCTCATTCTATAATTATGGAGCAACCATAGACAGATGCTCCTTATCAGGATTGAAGAAAAGATAGAACAGTTGGGTGGTGGGAAACAAACCAGAAGAATGTTGTAGCAAGCCATTGATATATTGTTGCCAAGAAACCTACATATCTACAAAGTAAGGATTTTGTCATGTTTTATGAAGGACTGTGACATTTACACATTTATACTTTTATTCTATTTTGAGATAAAGAACATACCTTTAATATTAATAATAAATAATATTAATATTTTGGCCTAGGCAAGCCAAAGGGTTGGACAGCCTTGCACTATATGCTTTCTTTTAATCCACATACAAAAATGGATTAATTTTAACCCTAACACTTGCCTGATTCAATTGTGGATGCAAATTTTTGGCTTTTTTCTTAGATTCATTGTAATTCATTTCTTGCTTTAATATTACAATTATGTACAAGCAACTAACTGTGATGGCATTACTAGCTGTATACTCAGAATATATGATAAATTTGTCCTGTTTTTAATGAGCTCTTTCTATATTACATAAGGTCATTGGGTTAGAATAGCAGTTGGGATCAGAATTTTTGTCACTAAACAATGCTGTCATAAATCATAAAGCATGCCACTGAGCAATGGCAGTTTGAGGACTTCAGAGGTCATTAGGCAAGGACCTCATGTGATTGTGCATTCCAATTCTTTCTGGCTTTCCCATTGACTGCTTGTAGGAAGCTAGCAGGGAAGATCACAAATTACAATCACATAACTGCAGAATGCTGCAATGGCCAGTAATATGAGCAGGTTGCCGAGTGTCCTGGATTACGATCATATGACTGTAGGGTTGCTGCAATAGCCAGAACTTCAAGGACTGGTTATAAATACCACTTATTCACTTGGTCACTGACTGAATGGTTGTTAAATGAAGACCACTGTACTGAAGGATTTTGTGAAAAATGCTCTAGATATCACTCTTTGGTCTACACAGAACTGAGTGTGGAAAGAACACTTGAATTTTTTATGTTCATTGTAGTCATGGTGATTCTTTGAGAGAGACTATGGTTGTTTTTCATTTATGGAAAGTAATTAAGGTACTGAGAAGTACCATTCACCTAGCAACAAGGTCATTAATATGGGAGAGATCTGTGATATGAATACCAAACTTTGTTGTTAAAATCCATCATATTTAGAGTGCTATTAACTTTCTTATCCAACTATATTGTAAATGTTTGCCCACATCGAGCTGAAGCAAAGTATTATTTGCACATTCTAAGTAGTCCAAGTTAAAACAGATGGCGTATTATTTCTGCAACAATTGGTGATAGTTTTCTTGTGAACCATTTCCATTATTATCAAGCATTGCTTAGCCATCACGTTATTCAGATTTTTTATGGAATTATTGAACAGTTTTATTTAAACGTGACCATTGCTTGCTTTGTTTTTAAGGTGGTAAAAGGAAAGGTAGCTTTTGCAGAACTACGCAAAATAATGTTTGAGCTTGCATCGATTTTTATGATATGAAGGTAGTTAATTGTACTGTATGCTTCTGAAAGCCTTGGGAATAATTGGGAGCCTGTCTGATGCTGATAGAAAAAATATTTATGCATGAACTGAATACCAACTTCAGAACAATTGCTTGAAATATTCTTCAGTGTAATATCAAATGATTGCATTTTTTTTTACTGTACTTATAGTTTAATTTAATAAACAGGCAGTAGAAAGACACATAGGTGAGGGAACCATATAGGATCTGCCCCTTTTGCAACATACCCTGTGCAGGATTATTGATTCCCACATTCACTGGAATACAAAGCTCTAAAAGTTACTTCCTAATATTTCATTTAGTAATGGAAATAAGCACAAAAGAAGTGTTAAGAGCATACTTCCGTAAGCAGAAAAATGGTCAGAGTGATTTGCTCTGTGGACAAGCATTCACAAATGAAAAGTATTCATACTTGCCACATACCTAAGGAGAAATGAAAACTCTCTGTGGTATTTGTTATGATTTATTCTGAACCATAGGAACAATATTCTCAGAGTTTACTTGGATCAGTACTGTTCTAGTTGTACTATGATAGACACAAAAGACAATTCTCATATATTTTAGTTGAATTATTTATTTAATCCATATAGGAGCAAAAGGTGAAGATTATGAAGGTAATCAAAGAACTCTGGCAGGACTTCTTACAGTGTTACTCTTCCTGGCCTCTGGTTTGCTGGTCTGTATGGTGGGCCCTGTCAACATGTGGCTATTTCCAGGTCATCAATTATACTCAAGGCATGTGGGAAATTGTGCTGCCTTCTCAGACCTATGAGATCTATAATGGTGCTGTGGAAGCTGTTTCCACATTGTTGGGTAAGCTGTTTCTTAGCTTTCTTCTGATCAGTGAAACATATTGTTGCATTTTGGAATTGTCAAAACTAATATTTACTAATTTGTATAAAGAGCATTTTGTCTTAAGAGCACTCTACTATGTTGCTGTTAAGTGAATTCATGTGATGTTGTTTTTAGCAATTTAGTCATAATAGTTTTGAACTATTATATGGAGGTGATACGTATACACATACACTCAAAGCAGTTTGGTCATATTCATGTGAATACATTTTCAATGTAATGGCAACTAAAACAGTACAGTTATGGCTAAACAATCTTTACTGTGCAATATTTTGAGTAATGATTTCACCAGCTAGATTAGGAAGTATCCTACATAATCCAACTCCACCTGTATTATTCTTACTTCTGATGCCCATCATCATAAACTGTTCTGAATTCTGGCTTGTTATAAGCGACCAATAATTTGCTAAAGGAAACAAGTATATAACAGAAGTTGCATTTCAACTCCACACTGAAATTACATATAGATAATCCTTGACATTAAGAGTAATGACAGCCACCCCCAAAAGTTATTTACAACCTGGTTTTGAAATTCTGATGTTACCCCCACAATCCTGTGACAATATTTTGAGTACTCAGCAAATGGCCGTTTGCAGCACTTCATGGTCATGTATTCATGATTTACAGTGGTTTTGTAGCAACCCAGTGTTTATTTCCAGTAATGAACAGTAGGCTTGTTTAACAACTGATGCATTTATTTAACGACCACCACAAAAATTGTAAAATTGGATCCAAGCACAATGTATGACTATAATTGCAGACTCAACAAATCCTAGTTCCTTCTTTCTGCTCATGCGAAAATTAACTAGCAAATACTTAGCAAAGCTATTACTGACTTCTTTTTTCTGATTTTGATCCCTGGAATATTCCTTTGAAAAAGTATTCAAAATATACAGTATACTGGACATAATTATTCTTGCACTCTAACTTGTTTGGATTTTCCATTTATAGGTGCTGTGGCTGTATTTGCTGTGGGACACATAAAAATATCTTTTCTTACTTGGGGTGAAATAGTCTTAGCTATGTTCTCCCTTTTCATTGCTGCAGCTGTGTATATCATGGACACTATTCCTAACATTTGGGTGTGCTATGCTTCCTATATGGCATTTCGAATTGTCTATATGCTACTCATTACAATTGCAACGTAAGTACTTGCTTGCATATTTCCTCATTTTATAAATTTTTAATCTTGCCATTGCTCAGATATCATACATATATGAGACTGCAAATCCCCAAAATTCTAAATAATCTAATGAGAATGCTATCCCAGTACATATGGAATATACCATGTTGAGGAATGTTGCTATATAGCTTTTGGAGTAGATTCACTGTGTTTGTCTGAAAGCTTCAGTTCTGTCACAACGAAGCTATAAAACAGCTAAAATAGGTTTGCACAGTGGTTTCACCACCAAGTGAATTACAAAGTAACAAAAAGCAGTGAATTTGTTTACTTAAAATGGGGCTGGAAATTGGGAATGTAACAAATGTATCTTATACATTTGTTGTAAATACGCTGCTTGTGGAGAACCACATTTCTGGGACCTCTAACCTAAGCAGATATAGGACTGGTACGCTAAACTTTTATGGAAGCAGATGAGGAACCCCTTTAAATGTCAAGATAAATATGGGGAGTGCTGCATATCTGAAGGCTAAAACTGAAAAATAGTTTGTAAAATTAAATATAGTTTTTATAGTTGATTCTCATTATTCACAGATTCTATGCTTGCAGATATGCCTACTTTAAAAATAAAATGAAAACACATGAGAATTTGAAAACTCTTTTGCCTGTAGGTTACTTTGCCTTAGTCCCTCTTACCTTTTCCCTTTTTCTCAATTTGGGGATTGATGTCCTTAAGAACTTTTGGGTAGAAAGTTGTTTTTTTTTTACAGAAATAAGGCAAAAGAGGAAAGAAAACAGTACTCTCCTACCTCATATGTTTTATTTAAGGTTCACAAAGGTCTGTGTGTGAAATGAATGGAACTCAATAATTATAAATATATGTATGTATGTATGTATGTATGGTATTCAGCTTTGTTCAGGTATTTTCCCACGTCATTATAGTTGTGCTTTTAAAGTTGTAGCAACACATGAAAGCCACAGGTCATAGCATCGACTTCAATGGCACCAAAATCCTAGCCACTATAGAAAACCCCAGCCACAGAATTATCAGAGAAGCCATAGAGATTGAAAAAAGACCTGAAAGCATGAATAGAAGAGATGACTCCACCATACTGTCAATTATCTGGAAGCCTGCACACTCAAACAAAAAAATCTCCACACCACAAGCCAGGCAAACAGATCCCCCCTGATACCTCCAGCTCAAACACACCCCAACCAGGCACCCAGATGAAACTTAGCTTCCTAATAAATGATAGCCGTCCATTTACTCGGAGCCAAGCCGCACTAAAAGCCTCCAATACAGGAAACACAATGTTGCCAGCCAATCAAGACAAAAAAAGCTACAAAACAGACAGAAGATAGAAGAAACATCAATCAAGCAGAAAACAGCAAACTCCAAGACCAATAAACACAGACCAAGACTCCCAACCAATCAGGATGAAGAAAAAACCATTCTGGCACAGCAGTAGGCTAGCCCCAAATTTAAAACAGAAATGGCTGTGAAAGCCTGACTCACAGACGAACACAATACAGAAGCCTGATGATGGCAGATGAGATTCTGCCAAAACGTTGCTACAACTTTAAAAGCACAACTATTATGACGTGGGAAAATACCCGAACAAAGCTGAATACCATACATATAAGTACCCGCGAAAACTTAAGAAAACATATATATATATATATATATATATATCCCCCCAATATGGTTACATTTTGATGATCATCTGCAGATGATAAATGAAATATGTTGTTTAAGTTGATCTTTGTTTTCTTTTTGTGAAGGTTCCAGATTGCTACAAATTTAAGTGTAGAGCGCTATGCCCTTGTATTTGGTGTTAATACTTTTATTGCACTGGCATTGCAGACAGTACTCACATTGATAGTTGTTGATGCAAAAGGTCTTGGCCTTGACATAATTACACAGGTAAGATATATTAATTTTGATTGGGTGGGAAGAGAGTGGACAGCTTTTCATAACTTGTTACCTTGCAGAGATGTTAGACTTCAGTTCTCGTATGCTCCATATTCTCTAATATCAACATAACACCATTTAGAAAGGCTACCTTTGAGTATCTTCAAAATGTGAGAGGCCTTATAGGTTGCTTTTGGAGGGTAAAAAGTACATCACCCCCTCTATTTTAGGATATTTTTTAATATTCTTAATAAAGAATTGTCTATTTTTAGACATATTGAACTGCTAGGATGTTCAACAGATGCAATAATACCAATTATAATTTGTGTTTAGTTTAAAATTGAATTGCCTCTTGGCTTTGGCTTCCTTTTTAACATTCCTGGAAATACATTAACAAATTATAGAGTAGGTAAACAGAATACAATCTAATTTGCTTTCTGTCATCACAAATTCTGACCCATGTAACTCATGTCTACATGGGAAGGAACAGGTATGTATGCCCTAATCATCTCATGACCCACGTAGCTCCATATGGACTACCCTTGAAGATAATCAGAAGCTGATCTAAGATGTATTGGTATCAGCAATAACAGGCTTTAATATGTTCCCAGTTGTTACTGCTGCTACATGAGCAGCCATTTAGCTTCCAGGTACAATTTAAAATATTGGTCATCACTTATATGATCCTTCATAACATAGGGTTTGATTATCTACAGGATTAAGTATCTCCAATAATTTCTGTCCACCTGGAATGGGTGCACTCCAGATTAAATGTTGCTATCTTGTGGGAGTGAGGAAGTGTGCCTTTTCTGTCAGATCCCCTATCCTCTGGAATAGCATTCCTGAAGACATATGTAAGGCTCTCCCTCCCTTAGAATATTGGAAACACTTATGACCTGGCTGTGTTTCCAGACTTGGGGTTAGTAAAGCTCCTATTGTGGTATTAATATTTTCCCCCCTCTGGGAACTACCAGAGGACTGGAAAAGAGCTGATGTGGTTCTCATCTTCAAAAAAGGAAAAAAAAAAACAGACCCAAGAAACTATAGATCAATTAGCCTAACATCAATACCCGGGAAGGTACTGGAAAAGATAAAAAAAACAGATCTGCCAACATCTAGGAACGAGTAAAGTAGTAACTAGCAGTCAGCATGGGTTTGTTAAAAACAGATCATGCCAAACCAATTTTATTTCATTCTTAAACATAGTGACTAAATTAGTAGACCAGCGAAATACTGTGGACATAATACCGTGTTTCTCACAAAATAAGGCCGGGCCTTATTTTTTTTTTTTTTTAAACAAGTTTTATTAATTTTTTTCAAAACACACAAGTCGTCATTATCCATTACATATTTAAACCTTTTTCCATTATAAATTTAACAAGTCAGATAAACTATAATTCTGTTTTAAACCATTTCCATATAAACATACAAAAACCTCTTATCCATTTTCTCTTTCTTTCTCTTTACTCTTATTCCATTTTATTATTATTATTTCATCTATTTCTTTCTGACTTAGTTACCATTATTCTCATTCTATATTTCTGCAAGGTTTCATTAATTCTCCCCCCCCAAAAAAACATATATACACAACACACAAAACATAAAAAAAGATCTTTTTGGAAAGTAACTTGGACCCAGGTATTTCTTTCTTCATGGACTTCAACTGTATTCATACTCATCTTACATATCATTACTTATTTTATTTACCATTCTAAATCTTCTATATTAACTTCTCCCCATATTTCACTCTTTTTAATTCTATCTTAATTAATCATCTTAATTTGAGTCATCATATTTGTATCTTTTGTCCATTCTTTATTGTACCTTTGTCTCATTCCTTATAAAAAAAAAAAGAAATTTCTCCTGAAATCACTAATCAGAGTATGATGCCTTTCTATCTCCCGACTAAATTAATCAAATTAATCTTTAGAATACCCAATCCGATTTTGCTTGGTACATTCTAACTGAATAATACATCCAAAATAATTAAATACATAGTTAAACAATAGATCTAAATATTAAAAACAAATACTATAATGAAAATTTTGTAATAACATCAATCCCATAATCTTATTAAACTCTTTAATTAAAGCTCAATATTCTAAATCTCCCCTCATATTATATTTTAAAACCAATCATTATTAACATTTCAACATTTTAATCTCTTATCAACTCTTAAGCCATTTAAGTTTTCTATTTCTAATACAATACTACCATATCATCTTATGTACCTTGCAAAATCTCTTTGAAGAAATTATACTTATCCTTTATCCCTAAAAAAATTCCTTTTTTCCCATTTAATTTCAAAACTTTGTAGCTTTTCTCCACCTTTTCCCTTTCTTTCTTCTCCCAACAAACCTTTCTACCCCCCCTTCTTCTAGCCTCTGCCTTACTGGCTTCCCTTCTCTGTCGTATTCCTCTTCCCTTTTGTTTACCATCCTTATATTGATTTTGCACCTTGTTTTTCCCTTTCTTAAATGTTTTTTTAAATCTTAAGTCCTTTATTTCTCTTCTCTTCCCTCTTCCTTCCCTCTTGGTCGAGTTCTGAGATTTATTAAAGATGGTTTCCTCTCCTTCTTCTTCTTCTGCTGTCTTCATCTGCTGCAATGTTTGTTGATAGTTAATAAGCGCCATTTCTAAAAAAAGGAAGGCTTCTTTCAAACCAGCTTTACCATTTTTTTTTTGCTTGCTCATAATCTTTTCTCAGTTCCTCAATAGAAGGAGCCATTATAAATCTTTTCTTTTCTTTTCTCTTACAACAGTCAGAATATTCCAAAGGAAAAATAAGACAATCCCAAAGTTATCAGTCAGTCCAAACCAAGACAGAGTTCCCACTCTCTCCTCCTAGGGTAGTATCAATCAGAGAAAAAGAAAGTCCAAATCTGTTTCTTAAAATCTTATTGCAATATATTTTAGTCTTTCAATCCTTAAGGCATCTCCTCCAACAAAGTCTTAGCATACAAATATTTTTTTTTAGTCCTCTCTTTTCCCACTCATCGCTTAAAGCCAGTTTTCACCTAAAAAAAAAAATAGATTTCTTAATATTCACTTTTTATTCCGTAGAAAAAGAGGGTAAGCTATCCTTTCAGCACCATTAAACTGCCGCTTTTTTCCTCTTCTCGAAGGTATCATTCAGAAAGTCATACTTTTCAGGAATTTTGTTAAATATGTCTTAGAGTCCTAGGAGCCAAGAAAAACTTTCTCCTTTCAAGCACTTTCTCCACTTCCTCCTGCGCATTCTTACCCGGCTGCCAGCTTCTTTGTGGCGGCCATTACGGACCGCCGCTGCACCGTCCTGGGAAAAGGGGGTTCTGCCGGCCGGGGAGGGGGTCTGCAAAACCCCCAAACCCTTCTCCGGATCCTCCCTACCTTCAGCTGCCCCTGCAGGGCAGCCTAGCTCCGTACCCGTCTGGGTCAGAGCCCCAAAAACGGCTAGCGCGGCAGGGATCGCGCAGCTTCGCAAATCCCTGCCGCTCGTGAAGCCAACCCGGGCCTTATTTTTTTTTTGAGCCCCCAAAAAACGGCTAGGACGTCTTTTCGGGGATGAATTAATTTCTACCCCCCCCCCCGGCGCACCAGCGCTGTCTCCAACAATAGCGTCTGAGTCGCTCCCGCTTTTCCCCTGTCCCCGTAACAACAGGAAAAAAACATTTTGAAGTACCTGGGAGCGCCGCGCGCTGCGTTTTGGTTTAATCCCGAGCGGCTGGGTGGGTGTGAGAAGAGCCGAGCGAGCGTCTCTGCTGCTGCTACCTTTGATGGGGGAATAGAAGGGGAACTTACCAAATCTGCAGATGATACTAAGCTGGCAGGAATAGCTAACACCCAAGAAGATTCCCAAGAAGATGGATCTTGACAGTCTAGAACACTCAGCCATATCTAACAAAATGAAATTCAATGTAGAGAAAAGTAAAGTCCTACACTTAGGCAAGAAAAACCAAAAGTACACATATAGACTGGGTGAAACCAGGCTCAATAGCAGTAACTGTGAGAGGGATCTTGGAGTCTTAGTGGACAACCAGCTAAACATGAGCCAGCAGTGTGCAGCAGCAGCCAAAAAAGCTAATGCAATCCTAAATTGCATTAACAGAGGGATACAATCAAGATCAAGAGGTACTAATTCCACTCTATAAAACTTTAGTAAGACCACACCTAGAGTACTGCATCCAGTTTTGGTCACCACATTATAAAAAAGATGTTGAGACTTTAGAAAAAGTACAGAGAAGAGCAACCAGGATGATTAAGGGACTGGAGGCTAAAACATATGAAGAACGGTTACAGGAACTGGGCATGGCTAGTCTAGTAAAGAGAAGGACCAGGGGAGACATGATAGCGGTCTTCCAATATTTGAGGGGCTGCCATAGTGAGGAAGGGATCAAGCTATTTTCTAAAGAGCCTGTAGGCCAGACAAGGAATAATGGATGGAAACTGAACAAGGAGA